GCAAAAAATCTACCGTATATACTCCGCAGCGTATACATCTATACGCTATACGGTGGTCCACCGCCCGACTAGCGTATAGCATATTTTAAAACACTAATTTTAGGTGTCATTTGTATAGAATTAAAAAAATCTCATAAAAGCTTTTAAAATCTCACGTTTAGAAATGGATTTCAATTCTTTCACAATGAAAAAATCAATAACACCCCCTTAACCATTACAATAAGGTGAATTGTAGAAATCACACCAAACCGTACCAAACCGGAACAATTGTGATAAGCTTCGTTTGATCATTCAGGATTCACACACCGAATCGGATAACCATATTCTAATAGATTATCTATATCATTTTATTACTTTTATTTTTACTACTTATATACAATGTTTATATACAAATTAATATACAGAATATATCTATAAACAAAGTAATCACAAAATATTAAAAAATCCTCTAGAAAACAAAGACGTGCGGACAGACAGAAACCCACCTAAAGATGTCGGTACAAATCAAAATTTCACAACAAAAAGGGTTAGATAACCTTGACTCAGCACCATATTAAGATAAGATATTCTCCAATCAAAATTAAACACGGAAAAATACAAGAAATTATAATTCAATAATCCAATAATAGAAAATTCGCTCAACTTCTCTATAAAAACCCAGTGAAAAGCACGAGCGATTTTGCATACATCTCTTTCTCTCTAAAAAATCTCCAAAAACGTTTTCGTAAAATCTTTAATAATCAATTTTGTAATCTTTAAATTTTATTTCTAAAATGTTTGTATTCTTATTTTAAATCAATAAAATTCACAAGTTTACTCATATAAAACATTCAGTATTTTAATTTATTAAACCAAATTCAGTATTTTAGTTTATTAAACCATAATTTAATGAAAATAAATAAAACAAACAGTATAATTAAATGGTATCTAAACAGGTCGCATGATTCATGGTTACACCTAAACCAAAGTGAATTATAAAACCGAACCGAGAATTTTAATTGTAAAGACGCGACGAAGCGTTTGAGGAAAAAGGAGACGAAGATCCAAACACGGCGTTAAGCTCCGTCCTCGACTCTTCCTCCTAAACTATCCGACAAAGCGAAAAAAAGAACCCTCATTTTTTTTATCAAATCCCTAAAGG